AGGGAGGGCGAGTGTTAAAGGCTCTTTCCCTAAAGCAACTTCTGTGCCTGGAGAGATTCTCTCTGTCTCTGTCTCTCTCTTTCTCGCTCTCTCTCTCAATAGCTAGATAGATTATATATATATATCCCACAGATGCTAAGAGACGGTTTTCGTCCTGGTCGCGTGGCCTCAGTTATCTGGGGTCCTATGAAGAAGACCTGGAAGTGGCTTATTACACAGGCTCCCATTCCCAGCACCAGCTGAGCCCTCGAGTTGGGCCTCCCTCGCCTCTGTTCCAGGACCTGCAGGCCTGGCGCACGCCGTGTGGGGACAAAGGCTTTCTGACCCATTGGATCTTAGGAGCTGTGAAACCTCACTCACAGTATCATTCATTAGGACCAATATCTGATAAAAGGAAGGACCTGGCCCTCCAGAGGTGACAGGCCTGATCTTCGGGAAAGGACAGCTGCTTAAACTGGATAAATCCAGCTTTCCTCTTTTTTAAAAATCCTCACCTGAGGATTTTTCCCCATTATTTTTCAGAGAGAGTGAAAGGGGGAGAGAGAGAAAGAGAAACATCGATGTGAGAGCCCGGTGGGCATAGCTCAGCGTTGACCTAGGATCCAGGAGATCGAGGTTCGATTCCGGGTCAGGGCACATGCCCAAGTTGCAGGCTCGGTCCCCAGCAGGGGGCGCGCAGGAGGCAGCCGATCAGTGACTCTCATCATTGATATTTCTCTCTCTCTCTCCCTCTCCCTTCCTCTCTCTGAAATCAATAAAGACATATCTTCCCCCAAAAAAAGAAAGAAAGAAAGATCGATGTGAGAGAGACACATCGATTGGCTGCCTCCCCCTCTCACACTGACCGGGCCGGGGATCGAGCCTACAACTGAGGTAAGTGCCCTTGGCCGGAATTGAACCCAGGAACCTTCAGTCTCCCGGCCGACACTCTAAAACTGAGCCAAACCAGCCAGGGCGAGCTTTCCTCTTTTCCTTCCCATCTGATGAGAACCCCGTGGGTCACAGTGGCCCTGGGTGGGGGTGGGGCAGGAGCAGGTCAAGAGGGCAGGCGACTTGCCCAGAATGGTAGAGGTCACTGTGACTTCCATCAACCTCACCCAATGACCCTTGACCTCTGATCTCGAGTCTCTCACTGACTTTTAATTGGTTGATAAAAATGAGATCATGTGTCATCTTTTAACAACCAGATGTGCAGACTCAGAACGAAGTTGCCTTGAACCCTCCCAGGAGAGGTTTCCTCTGTTACATCCGACCCAGTAATGCCGGTAATGCTCTCGATGACAAACGGGGTAATTAGCGGGATCTTGTTCCTATTTAAAACTGCAAAAATACGTGCCTGGGCGCAGGCAAGGGCTCAGAATCGCCATCTCTGGACTGGGCCCTTGTGGCCCTGGACAAGTCACTGACATGCTCTGAAGGTTGATTCCCCCTCTGCGAAACGCACCTGGTGGGACCTGCATGGTCGGCAGAGCCTGCAGATTAAGCGAGGGGTGTAACTTCCACAAAGCAGCATTTCTGCAGACACGTCCCCAGCGCACGGGCTCTGAGATGCTTGCTCAGTGAGGACAGGAGACTAGGTGTGGGATCCCTCCATGTCCCCTCCCTGGGGACACACCAGTGCACCCGCCCGTTGAAGGTTCTGAGGCACTGGTGGCAAAGACCTACTTCAAGTTTTCTGTCCCATGTTCTCCCAGCTGAAATCACTTGCCCTGTGTCACATACACTAAGGCCATGGAGACGTGTCCCAGGGACCCACTAGACCAGCCCAGGTGTAAAGAGCAGAGCGTGGCCCTGCCACAGCGTCACAGACCAGAGCTGCTGCCACGGTCGCTCAGAGCCTGCCCAGCCCTTCCGGGACCAGTGTCGCCCCCAGGAAGCAGGCTGGCTGAATGCCCTATTCGGGGAGCCAGGCACAGCTCCAGCCAGCCCCGGACACCAGGCCAGCCCAGCCCATCCTGGTCCACCAGCTCCCTCCGAATGAGAAAACAGGGAACCGCCCAAGAATTTCCCCAAAACATCCTGTCTGACTGCTGCAGGCCTCGCTGCTCACCTCTGTCCGCCCACGGCTGGAGAGCAGGGCCACTCTGACTCCACTGGGACATGGGCATTTACCCAGATGGGTGCACGAGCACCCAGGCAGTCGTCCAGGGACTTCCTTTCAGTGCAACAATGACCCTGAGAGCATCACCGTGTGGCCGAAGGTGGCCCTCAGTGTGTCCCTGTCTCCTCAGGGGCTGTTCACATGCCAACCAGGGAACGAAGCTCTCTCTAGAAAAACGAGGTGAAGTGGCAGGTAAAGGAGAAATTTTAAACGGTAACTCTGCCTCCGGCCCCCTCGTGTTCCTGGGTTCGATTCCAGCCAAGGCTCGATCCCCGGCCCCAACCAGGGCAGGTGCGGGAGGCAACCAATTGATGTGTCTCTCTCACATCGATGCTTCTCTCTCTCTCTCCCTTCCACTCGCTCTGAAAAGCAATGGGAAACAATATCCTCGGGTGAGGGTTACAAAAAATAATAATAATAAAATAAAATAACTAAACTCCTTGTTTCAAAGATAAGACGCTAATACCATGCTAATAGCCCCCGGTTTTGCTAACCTGTCTGTCGCTTATGTGGGATACTGGGGGCGGGGGAAAGAGAGTCCTTGACACGCGACCATGGGTCTCGGTAGACAAGAATAGGTGGCAGTCTTTGACAAGGAGCAGTGGCCACCTCCCTGGGCTCGCTGCTCCGGGGCCCGCTCCTGGGCCGGCTCCCACCTGCCCAGCGTCCAGCCATCATCACTGACACCTGCGGGGGCACCCATGAGGCCCAGTGTCCCCAGGACACTCGGGTTAGAATTCCCTTTTGAAAGTGATTTAATAAGAGGGGTCTCTTGAGGTTATTCAGTAAGAGAATAAGTTGGTTTTTCCTATCACCAGAAGGGTTCTTTGGCCCTTTGTCTGCTGAACGGTTGCTGCAGATACCGGGTGTCTAAAAAA